TTATGTGTATTTGTGTGTTTTTGTTTGATTTATTATGTATATGCTTATGAAGGCCCAGTAGCCGCTACGTTCACTTTTCCTTTGTGTTTGTTATATTGTGATATATTACAATTTAATATCTTTTTTTTTTTTTTGGGGTTTCTCCTTTTTGTTCAGGATATTCGGTCAGTGGCTGTTTTCTAAAGTACGTAACCTTTCCGATTTCTTTTCTTATTGATTCTTCAAGCTGGATTTAATCCACTGCCGGCATGCTGGATCTGTGTGTAAACTATGAATAAGCCTCCAACAGGTGTCTCTATTAGGGTTTCTATGGCCAAATGGTTGAACCATTTGCCTCATGCTCTGAATGTTGTAGGGTCGACTGCAGGCTCTGTTTAAGATTCTCTATTGGAGGTGTTTTGGAAATCACTTAATGCAATTGTTGGATCTACGTAGTTAGTACTTTCTTAAGCTCTATAGAAAATGATTAGCCAGTCTACAGATAGAGATCCAGCCATTTGAGATAGAACATGGCTCAAAAAGTATATTTACTTGAATCCATATGTTGTAGATGAGCAGCAAACAGAAAGCGACGACAACTACCACAAATATTGACCATGTTTCGTCCGTGTTTCTTCACTTACCACAACCTTGTTAAATGTTCCACTACACTTCTTACAGACTGGTACAGTGTTCCACTACACTTATCACAGACTGGTACAGTGTTCTACTACACTTATCACAGACTGGTACAGTATTCTACTACACTTATCACAGACTGGTACAGTATTCTACTACACGTATCACAGACTGGTACAGTGTTCCACTACACTTATCACAGACTGGTACAGTGTTCCACTACACTTATCACAGACTGGTACAGTGTTCCACTACACTTATCACAGACTGGTACAGTATTCTACTACACGTATCACAGACTGGTACAGTGTTCTACTACACTTATCACAGACTGGTACAGTATTCTACTACACGTATCACAGACTGGTACAGTGTTCCACTACACTTATCACAGACTGGTACAGTATTCTACTACACGTATCACAGACTGGTACAGTGTTCCACTACACTTATCACAGACTGGTACAGTATTCTACTACACGTATCACAGACTGGTACAGTGTTCCACTACACTTATCACAGACTGGTACAGTATTCTACTACAACTATCACAGACTGGTACAGTGTTCCACTACACTTATCACAGACTGGTACAGTATTCTACTACACGTATCACAGACTGGTACAGTGTTCTACTACACTTATCACAGACTGGTACAGTATTCTACTACACTTATCACAGACTGGTACAATGTTCCACTACACTTATCACAGACGTGTACACTGTTCCATCACACTTAACACAGACGTGTACAAAGTTTCACCACACTTTACACTGACATAAAATGTTCTACAACACATAACTCTGACGCATACAATATTTCACCACACTTACCACTGACGTGTAGAATGTTCCTATAGCGCCGGTGATAACAATCGTGGCCCACACCGGAAATCCGGTCACTGAAATAAATAACTCATCTAAACGTGGGAGGCATTTAAATTAAATCTAGACAAAATATGATAATATTGATCTTCAACATTAAATCAACAGTGCTGTGTGAAGCAAAAAGATGGGGAACAAGTAATAAAATGTCATCAATTGACTGGCCGCTAGGCAGAAAATCAGCAATTACAGTGTATAAAAGAATAACTTCATGGGGCTTTGGAAGGGAACTAAATAATGTTTGCTCGCTGAAGAGGCTCGTGGGAAGTCGCCGTGGAGTAGCGGCTAGAAGATCGTCTGCGTACCGGAAGGTCGTGGGTTCGGGTACTGACAGAACCGGGCTTTTTTCAACAATAAGCCTGGCTCCCTGGTCGATCTAGCCTTGAGTGGGTACCAGGTGCAGTCCTGGGAAGTAAAGGGGGTCGATAGATTGATAGATATCTAACTGGATAGACAGATAGATGGATAGATAGATAGATAATTATATCGATAGACAAATGGATAGATGGGTGGATAAATATATATAGATAAATAGACCGACTTACAGACAGACATCAGACATATTGACAAACAGAACGATAGATAGATAGATAGATAGATAGATAGATAGATAGATAGATAGATAGATAGATAGATAGATAGATAGATAGATAGATAGATAGATAGATAGATAGATAGATAGATAGATAGATAGATAGATAGATAGATAGATAGATAGATAGATAGATAGATAGATAGATAGATAGATAGATAGATAGATAGATAGATAGATAGATAGATAGATAGATAGATAGATAGATAGATAGATAGATAGATAGATAGATAGATAGATAGATAGATAGATAGATAGATAGATAGATAGATAGATAGATAGATAGAGAGACAGAGAGACAGAGATAGAGAGATAGAGAGATAGAGAGATAGAGAGATAGAGAGATAGAGAGATAGAGAGATAGATAGATAGATAGATAGATAGATAGATAGATAGATAGATAGATAGATAGATAGATAGATAGATAGATAGATAGATAGATAGATAGATAGATAGATAGATAGATAGATAGATAGATAGATAGATAGATAGATAGATAGATAGATAGATAGATAGATAGATAGATAGATAGATAGATAGATAGATCGATAGATCGATCGATCGATAGATCGATAGATCGATAGATCGATAGATCGATAGATCGATAGATAGATAGATAGAAAAGTATGTTGAATGTTGAATTAAAAATCGACATCCTAGCACTCGGGACACTCCCATAAGTGCTCAGTCCCCATCTTCAGCAGGAAGCAAACAGTTCCAATTCCGATGGATAATGGTTAGATAAATATATATGTGCGTGTATATATATATATAATATATATATATATATATATATATATATATATATATATATATATATATATATATATAAAGATAAGTAGAGAGACAGAGAGATATAGAGATACAGAGAGATTTTCAAAGAGAGAGAGACAGAAGGGAGAGAGAGAGAGAGAGAGAGAGAGAGAGAGAGAGAGAGAGAGAGAGAGAGAGAGAGAGACTCTTGCAGTCAGACAGACAAATAGACAGTGTTTACATAAAGAGATCATTAGGGGATAAGCAACACAACTGACACAGGAACCTACCCGCTTTGAAAGCTGTAGACGGTGCAAACGATGCAAGCCCAACATAGACAATCTGGTAGGAGCGAAATATTTCAGTGAAAAGTTGAATGTTTATGCCTAGAGGAAAATATAACAGGTATGTGACTTCTGAAGCTGCTGATAAAGTGTGACAGTGAGGACCATGATACAATAGGTTGGGGTTGGGAAGAGGGTATTGGGGGGGGGGGGGGGGTCTCCCCTTTCTTGCCATATGTGCCTAGCCAATTTTAAGCAATGTCTGAAAGTGACCTCTTTATGTCTTCTTCTTCTTCTTCTTCTTCTTCTTCTTCTTCTTCTTCTTCTTCTTCTTCTTCTTCTTCTTCTTCTTCTTCTTCTTCTTCTTCTTCTTCTTCTTCTTCATCTTCTTCTTCTTCTTCTTCTTCTTCTTCTTCTTCTTCTTCTTCTTCTTCTTCTTCTTCTTCTTCTTCCTCATCCTCTTCTTCTTCCTCATCCTCCTTATCCTATTCTTCTCCTTCTTTTTCGTCTTTTTTATCCTCCTCCTCCTCCTCTTATTTTTATTCTTCCTCCTCCTCCTCCTCTTTTTTCTTCTTCTTCTTCTTCTTCTTCTTCTTCTTCTTCTTCTTCTTCTTCTTCTTCTTCTTCTTCTTCTTCTCCTTTTTTTTCTTCTTCTTCTTTCTTCTTCTTCTTTTTCTTCTTTTTTTCTTTTTCTTCTTCGTATAGGCATTTATGTTATTCTAATCATGAGCTACACAGATAAGAAACATGCATCCCAACAATTCTGCAGCCACTGATTTTGAGATAGTCTTTATTTGGTTTCGACAACTGTAACAAGCAGCTGTGTAGCCACTCCTCTTTGATCTGACGGCTTTGGATGCTGACCTTGAATTTTCTTGTCAGATCTGTCGAAGGTTTTCTTCAGTATCTGCAGCAAAACAACAGATCAGTTGTTTCACTCTGTAGCTCCTTTTTCCGTGTGTGTATGTGGTTTTTTTTTTCTTTCTGTGTTTCTATGCCCCTGTTTGTTCCAGAGCAAAGACATTCTAGTTATATTATTATCAGCTTTTCTGATCGTTTGTGCCATTCAAAGCCAGCATCTTTTCTTCACCTCTCGGTCCACTGGACTATTTTTAATCAGAGGTTTTGAAGTCATTTCTAATACTTCCTGGTTTTTCTGGAATACTTTTCATTTATTGTTTGACACACTAACCTGATTGACGATCATCAAAGCGGTTCCCACCAGTCTAGTGCTGCGAGACTGGAAACGTTTCTCCAAGTACTGAAACCAGATCGTGTTTAATGCATATTTATAGAAGCCAACACATGACTTAAAACTATACTCAATAGTGTAAATACTATAAGGTCGCAGAGTTTGTGGTATTTTGAAACTTAGTAGTTCTACTTTTTGTTGGTTTGAACATACGTAGATACATACATAATTACGTACACACGTAAAAAAAATCATTACATGTGAAATGGGCTGTCTCCACAACGTCACTAACAATACAAGAAGAGACAGGGTTACGAATACTAGCAAAGATAGAAAGTTGGGAAAAAGACCATGACTGGAATATATTGACAGACAAAGAATTAAATGGTTCAGCCATCTAGTGAGAATGCAGCTAGACAAGACGACATATGAGACTTTTTACAGTAGAACATCTGGGAGAAAGGCGAGTAGAAGAAAAAGATGGATAAATGGTGTAGCTGAAACCTGCTAAAAGATAAACAAATGCATCATACAAACCACCCGAGATGCGCATGATAAATACAGAAAAACCACGCCACAGGGCTACAACCTGGTAACAGTGAAACGGCAAAACCACGATACTGGGCTACAACCTGGTTTCAGTCAGACGACTAAACCACGACACTGGGCTACAACCGGGTACCAGAGAGACAACAAAGCCACGACACTGGGCTACAACCTGGTATCGGTCAGACGACAAAACCACGACACTTGGCTACAACCTGGTATCAGCTATAGGACAAAACAACGACACTTGGCTACAACCTGCTATCAGCGATAGGACAAAACCACGACCCTTGGCTACAACCTGGTATCAGTCATACGACAACACACGACACTTGGCTACAACCTGGTATCAGCGATAGGACAAAACCACGACCCTTGGCTACAACCTGGTTTCAGTGAGACGACAAAACCACGATTCGATTCTGGGCTGCAACCTGGTATAACAAAACCACGTTACTGGGATACAACCTGGTATCAGTGAGATGAAGATAGAAGAAAAAGAAGAAGAATAAGAAACTAGATGCTAAAAGACCACACTTACAAGCAGTGAATTGTTAACTGAAACGTCTTACCTCGAATACACTGGTCAGCTTCAAGGGATACAGAAGAGGCACAAACAGTATAGCCGATATGGCGATTCCCAGCAACATTCCAATGAGAGAGATGTAATACTCTGTTCCCTGATATACAGAAAACAATAACAAAACTGGCATTAGAAAAACTGGGCTGCTGAGACATTCTATGTTAGTGAGATGTTGGCCAGCTTGACATTCACATGTTCTTGGCCGCCTTGACATTCACATGTTCTTAGCCAGCTTGACATTCACACGTTTTCGGCCAGCTTGACATTCACACGTTCTCTGCCAGCTTGAAATTCACATGTTCTTGGCCAGCTTGAAATTCACATGTTCTTGGCAAGCTTGACATTCACATGTTCTTAGCCAGCTTGACATTTACACGTTTTCGGCCAGCTTGACATTCACACGTTCTCGGCCAGCTTGACATTCACATGTTCTTGGCCAGCTTGACATTCACATGTTCTTGTCCAGCTTGACATTCACATGTTCTCGGCCAGCTTGACATTCACATGTTCTTGGCCAACTTTACATTCACTTGTTCTAGGCCCGACTTGACATACACACGTTCTCGGCCAGCTTGACATTCACATGTTCTTGGCCAGCTTGACATTCACACGTTCTCGGCCAGCTTGACATTCACATGTTCTTGGCCAACTTTACATTCACTTGTTCTTGGCCCGACTTGACATTCACATGTTCTTGGCCCGGCTTGACATTCACATGTTCTTCGCTATCTTTACATTCACACGTTCGTGGCCATCTATATTTATGTTAAGTGGTCAGCTGCGTATCTCGCAACCTTTACTTGCTATGAGACAGGATAAAACCTCACAGCAGTTGTGCGTGCAGATAATAATATTTTTTCCCCATAAGAACTGAACACAGACCCCAAGAGCGCCAACACAACAAAAACATTGAAGGTAGACTAAACCCCCTTTTCCAACCCCCTTTCCACCATTCAATATTTTTGTCTTTGGCTAGGACGCCACTTTTAAGTATACACATAAAACATCTTTAAAAGCATTTATTTATATATTTTACACTATCTCCATTATACTATTTTCAGCTTATGCTGAGTATTACTAACATTATTGTTGTAAACAGCAACAAATAAATCTAATATTGTACTAGAAATAATGGGAAATGTATACATGTTTACTTCAAAAGAGAATATCCTTGCAGGATTGAAGGCGCTCTTTCCTTATGCAGTTATTGCTGTGGGGTTAGCGGTGGTGTGAGGGTGTGCGGGTGAGCTGCCGGGGATTAGGAGCAGGGCCTCTAGGGAGCTTAGTCACCCATGTTTGAACCCTTATGAAGACCACAAACTCAACGCCTTTGCTCACTACTAGATCACGCCATCCTTACTGTGACTATACTTAATGTAGACTGATAATGATTGTGAAATTTAAAAAACAAATACAGCCATACATGATGCTAGAAATAGGTAACTGTCGACGTAAAATAAATTAAGTGAACTAATATCTTCATGTGTTAAGTTCAAATAAAATTTTTAAAATTATTGTTGACGTAAAAAAACAAAAATGTTGATATTCGAGTAACGTGTTATTGTTATGATTGTGTAGATCACAAGCTAACTGAGAGCATTATGATGTAAGGTCAGATATTAAGTTACAAAAAAGTGAACACGGGCTCAGTGGGAAATATACAATAACAAAAATTGTTGATCACAGGCGTCAAAACGTACTTTCAGATCTTACTACGTCACTGACCGAGATGCCGAAATTCATTTGTCAAAGCTTGTTTAAAAAAAAAAAAAAAAATATATATATATATATATATATATATATATATATATATATATATATATATATACATACGTTTTTTCCATGATTACCACTGTAAGTAATTAAATTAATTATTTTTTAAGAGTAATTGAAAGATATCTCATATAGATGGTGACTGTTGTCTGGCTACACAACATGCGTTTTATTTCTCGATGATGACTTTGGCTGAAACCAAGTCAGTGTTTAATTCCTTTTCCCGACCCAGCTGTTTTGTATTTGTTCTGCTGTGTGTTTGTCTGTCTGTCTGTCTGTCTGTCTGTCTCTGTAGTATATTTTGTCTGTATTTGTGTGTGTGTGTAGGTGTGTGTTTGTGTGTGTACATGTGTGTGTGTATGTGTATGTGCGTGTGTGCGTGTGTGTGTATGTGCGTGTCTGTGTATATGTGTATGTGTGTGTGTGCGTGAGTGTGTATATGTATGTGTGTGTGCTCGTTGGTGTGTGTGTGTGTGTTCACTCCCACTTGAAAGACGGGTGGTGCGAAGTTCATGAACTATATCTAGTGGTGAGCCAGGACTTAGGCTCACACTGGTAAAGAACCTCTACCTGATCATCCTAGACACAGGTCCCTAACCTGCGGTCTGGTCAGATTTAACAGGACCAAAGTTTCCCTCGAAGTCGGAGATATATGCCTCTGAAGGTTAGGAAATAACAGTCTGTATCCTCCCACCCCCCCCCCCCTTTTTTTTTTTTCCCCAGCCAGATCAGTATATAAACCCAAGACCCATGTTCTGGACCCGTATAAATTAATTATCCAGTTTCGTCCTTTTTAGGACGAAATTTTTTGTCATTTGAAGCCCCACCCTTGCTTTTGCAAGGGGCCGCAATATAGGCAGGGCATAAATATGGCCAATTGTCTGAACTCGGTTACTGACTGATTATGTTAGTATGGCTGTCTCTTTGTCAGGATGCATCCCAGTGTGGATGTTTCTTTGTCATCATACATATGAGTGGGGTTGTCTCTCTGTCATGATACACCTGAGTGGGGTTGTCGCTTTGTATTGATGCGCTGAAGTGGGGTTCTCTTTGTATTGAAGCGCTGAGGTGGGGTTCTCTTTGTGTTGATGCGCTAAAGTGGGGATGTCTTTTTGTATTAATGCGCCAAAGTAGGGTTGTCTCTTTGTAATAATGTGCTAAAGTGGGGTTGTCTCTTTGTAATAATGCGCCAAAGTGGGGTTGTCTCTTTGTAATAATGCGCCAAAGTGGGGTTGTCTCTTTGTAATGATGCGCCAAAGTGGGGTTATCTCTTTGTATTGATGCACCAAAGTAGGGTTGTCTCTTTGTAATGATGCGACAAAGTAGGGTTGTCTCGATGCACATGAGTAGGGCTGTCTCTCTGTCACGATGCACATGTGTTGGATTGTCTCTTTGTCTTGATGCGCTAGAATGGGGTCGTCTCTTAGTCATGATACATCTGAGGGTCTTTTGTGTGTATGTATTTGTGTGTGTGGCTCACCTGAAAGAGGTTGTCTATTTTTCATTATTTAGCTCAGTATTATTCACTATATAGTCTCACCTGGCAAACTACTGGACGTACATTTGCCTAGAAAAACCACATCAGGGAAAAATGCTGTGGTTGGTTCTGCAACGTCATGTAAAGGATACGCAACTAACTATAACTAGTCTCACCTGAGTATACATCTCTGCAGGAGTTCCCAGAATCAAGATGGCCGACATGAAAGACACCAAAATGGAAATGGCCACAGGTATTATTGGCATATTTCTGTTTCCCATCAGATACTCACCTAGAAAAAAAGAAAAGTGTATGTATGTATGTATGTATGTATGTATGTATGTATGTATGTATGTATGTATGTATGTATGTATGTATGTATGTATGTATGTATGTATGTATGTATGTATGTATGTATGTATGTATGTATGTATGTATGTATGTATGTATGTATGTATGTATGTATGTATGTATGTATGTATGTATGTATGTATGTATGTATGTATGTATGTATGTATGTATGTATGTATGTATGTATGTATGTATGTATGTATGTATGTATGTATGTATGTATGTATGTATGTATGTATGTATGTATGTATGTATGTATGTATGTATGTATGTATGTATGTATGTATGTATGTATGTATGTATGTATGTATGTATGTATGTATGTATGTATGTATGTATGTATGTATGTATGTATGTATGTATGTATGTATGTATGTATGTATGTATGTATGTATGTATGTATGTATGTATGTATGTATGTATGTATGTATGTATGTATGTATGTATGTATGTATGTATGTATGTATGTATGTATGTATGTATGTATGTATGTATGTATGTATGTATGTATGTATGTATGTATGTATGTATGTATGTATGTATGTATGTATGTATGTATGTATGTATGTATGTATGTATGTATGTATGTATGTATGTATGTATGTATGTATGTATGTATGTATGTATGTATGTATGTATGTATGTATGTATGTATGTATGTATGTATGTATGTATGTATGTATGTATGTATGTATGTATGTATGTATGTATGTATGTATGTATGTATGTATGTATGTATGTATGTATGTATGTATGTATGTATGTATGTATGTATGTATGTATGTATGTATGTATGTATGTATGTATGTATGTATGTATGTATGTATGTATGTATGTATGTATGTATGTATGTATGTATGTATGTATGTATGTATGTATGTATGTATGTATGTATGTATGTATGTATGTATGTATGTATGTATGTATGTATGTATGTATGTATGTATGTATGTATGTATGTATGTATGTATGTATGTATGTATGTATGTATGTATGTATGTATGTATGTATGTATGTATGTATGTATGTATGTATGTATGTATGTATGTATGTATGTATGTATGTATGTATGTATGTATGTATGTATGTATGTATGTATGTATGTATGTATGTATGTATGTATGTATGTATGTATGTATGTATGTATGTATGTATGTATGTATGTATGTATGTATGTATGTATGTATGTATGTAATGTATGTATGTATGCATGCACACGTCCACAGCGTATGCAAGGATGCCAATCCCTAGAACGAAGATATCAGTAGCGTCAACGAATCACTCTTTGCTGATGACCAGGCCTTGATAGAAGATACGACCATGAAATTGCAACAGTTTGCAGACATGAATGAAGAATGCAAATCAAATAATTTGAGAATGAACACTGGAGAGACAGAAGTAATGTTATTAGAAAGAAACGAGCAGAACGTAAATATTGCCTTAGAGTGCAGAGACATTGAACAGGCATCTGAGTTTGAAAATCTGAGAACATTCACGGAAGATGCAAGATTCTTCGAAGAAATTAACATCCGATGCGCTAAAGCAAACCAAATAGTGGCACAGCTAGCCTGAAAACACAAGACAATCCCAGTCAACAGTCTTTCCTACCCTACGCTACTAGTGCCAGACATTATCGTTCCGAACAAACCAGAAAAAAAGTACCTGGAAAAATGAGATTCTGAGAAGGGCTGCAGGGGGAATCGGAGGAGATAAAATCATGAATGCAGTCACAAGAGGAAAAGTCGACACAAAATCATTTGTAAATTTCATAGAAAGACAACAAATCAAATGGTTAGCCCACTTGGAGAGAATGTCTTGTGACGCCAGGCATTCGCCGAGAGAGGAGATGAGAGAAGATCAGGATATAGATTAAGAACAAGATGGAAAGATAACATAAGAGAAACTTTACAACTGAACGATGTGTCTGTTGTAGAGGTGACCAGAAGAGCAAGTAGCAGAACCTTATATCTCTCTCGACACCCCAAGTGGTAACAGGGGGAGTTAAGAAGAAGAAATGTAAATATGTTGTATGAGTGTCTGTCAGTGTGTGTCTGTTCCTGTGTGTCTGTCCGTGTGTGCCTGTCCGTGTGTGTCTGTCCGTGTGTGCCTGTCCGTGTGTGTCTGTCCGTGTGTGTCTGTCCGTGTGTGCCTGTCCGTGTGTGTCTGTCCGTGTGTGCCTGTCCGTGTGCCTGTCCGTGTGTGTCTGTCCATGTGTGTCTGTCCGTGTGTGTCTGTCCGTGTGTGTTAGATTGAGCTTGTGTCTAAATATTTATGTATGAGGTGTATGTATATGTGGATTTCTGGTGCGTATCTGTATCTTCGTACATATATCACGCGCGCGCGCGCACACACACACACACACACACACACACACACACAACTCATGTTTTCATCATATATAAGGTGTGTGTGTATGTGTTTGTGATTGTCGGACATGTCAGTTGCGGCCTTTGACAATGTCTAACTGTCATATTTGCAAGTCTGCTTGTGTGTCAATTTGTGAGTTAGTGTGTTGATTGTGTACGAGTATCTGAGCTTCTATGTTTGTGTGTGTCTGTGTGTGTGTGCGCGCGCGCGGGCGCAGCTGTATGAATGCGTGTATTTGAGTGAAGAGAAACAACAAAAAGAAGAAAGAACGACATCGAGGAAAATGTGGGGGATGGGGGAGATGATAGAGAGAGCGAGGAAAGGGACAGAGAAAACGAGAACACAACAATTAAAAATTGAGTTAAATAAATATGTACTGCTTAACTCTCTGAGTCCCAGGAGGTTTAGCATCAGAGGCCCAAGGTCTAGTCAAAAGAGATGTAAATCCGCGCATCTTGCGTTCATTGGGCCTCTAGGCGGGAACTTATGAACGTATGATGCGTTCCTTGGGACTCGAAGAGTTAAACAAACAAATAAAAGAAAGAAAACTCAAAGCTATGTGGGGGTTTGTTTTTATTTGGTGCAGAAATCTTCCGTGTGTCTAAAAACTGTCGATGACCCAAATGCAAAAGAACTGCCTAATAATTAGTTGAGCCCTGAGGTATTCATGTAGGCAATTTGAACAATTCCGCTCATTAATTACAAAGGTTTTGAATGTCAAAATTAAGATCAAAGTATGTTATTTTCTGTAGCTATGAGCTACTATTTGTTTGAATAGGACAGAACTTGATAGATACTGAAGAAGAAAAGACAAGACTTTGAGACAAAGAAAGAGAAAACAATTGGCATTAACATAAAGACATGCAGACAGCAGATATACAGACAAACACACGGAAAAGTGTAGCTTTTTGGCCACTACGAACCATATTTATGTGACTGTTTCTGCCATGTACCCACCTTGTGTTTTCTGTTTGCCGCCTCTCAAGGCGAAGAAGATCCCAATGCCTGATGAAATGGCCAGCATAGCCACAAACACTACGTAGTCCCAGACACCGAACTCATTTTTCATTTGCGTCATGGCTGTTGGTAAAGGCGCAGCAGGGGAATCAACTCTGTAAACAAACAGAAAACAGAGCTATGTCATGGGTGATTAGAACAACTTTACCTATAACATTCAGTGGTGGTCAGTAGCAACACTTATGTTATGGTGGTCAGTAGCAGCAGCTGTTTTATGGTGGTCAGTAGCAACAGCTATTTTATGGTGGTCAGTAGCAACAGCTATTTTATGGTGGTCAGTAGCAACAGCTATGTTATGGTGGTCAGTAGTAAAACTTATGTTATGGTGGTCAGTAGTAAAACTTATGTTATGGTGGTCAGTAGTAAAACTTATGTTATGGTGGTCAGTAGTAAAACTTATGTTATGGTGGTCAGTAGTAAAACTTATGTTATGGTGGTCAGTAGTAAAACTTATGTTATGGTGGTCAGTAGTAAAACTTATGTTATGGTGGTCAGTAGCAACGCTTATGTTATGGTGGTCAGTAGTAAAACTTATGTTATGGCGGTCAGTAGTAAAACTTATGTTTTGGTGGTCAGTAGTAACACTTATGTTATGGTGGTCAGTAGCAACAGCTATGTTATGGTTTTCAGTAGCAACGATTATTTTATGGTGGTCAGTAGCAACAGGTATGTTATGGTGGTCAGTAGCAACAGCTATGTTATGGTGGTCAATAGCAACAGCTATGTTATGGTGGTCAGTAGCAACAGCTATGTTATGGTGGTCAGTCGTGAATCTTTTGTTACTGCAGCCAGTAGCAACAGTTATGTCATGGTGGTAAGCAGCAACTATTGTGTATATTAGAGAGTAACAATAAGTGACTGACGCAGAAATCTAGTTTACAGAGGTACCTGGCTGTTCAAGGTACTTGACTGATACTACTACCGGACTAAAAGAAACACCTGACCGATTAACATACACCACTGAAAACAGTGCCTGACTAAAGTTGCCTGGCTCATAGAGGTGCCTTACTGACAGTTATGTGATTGAAATGGGTGCATGACTGGATGGGATTGGTGTAAAACAAATAAGACACTAAGAAAAAAAGCAACAACAACCAAAATTGTTTAAATAATACTACTAGATAATTATTATTTCCGATAACATGTAAAGACGTAGGGGATACAAAATAGAATATAACTGGAATGATATTGCACTTCCCGGCGGTTTCTTTGTCTGGTATTGGCAAGGAGATAACGTCATGAAGAGTTTACGTCTGTAACTAAACTCTCGTACATGTAAGACAGTTCCTGACTGGAAGAAACTGACCCTACCTTTATAGATGAAATACATTTCATGAATGGGAGAATCTGACCCTACTTTCATACATGCGAGACAGTTGATGACTAAGAATCTGACCTAAAATTTATAGATGAAAGACAGGTAATGACTCGAAGAATCTTACCCAACATTCCTTTATGCCTGCCTTTATCAATAACACTTGTGTGACTGGCCCCGTCGTAAACACTATGTCACATAAGTCACACTGTTTTAAAACTGTTAACTCCATGTATGCACATCTTGGACTGACACGCATGCATCCCGTACATTTATTCGTATATAAGTTTCACCCCTTCACTGCCCTCACTACATCAACAACAACAAAACACAACGATACACCTCTTTCGTGAGTGTTAAAAGTGCGGCGGCCATCTGTAAACTGTAATTATGACGTCACTAATATTCGTTTGCACCGTGACGTCATTGCTTAGAAAGTAATCAACTGAACTGTGACTAGGAAGCTTAAGGAAAGGTGGATATACACAAAAGGGGCGAATACACAAAACAAAAAGACGTTTTAACGGAGACTTTCTTGACATAAACTACAAAAACAGCACCGCAAATGTTTTGTGCTTAACTTACTTGAAATCCTTAACTGGAGTATTGACGTATTACACGACACTGACATGGTTTTGCTAGTTTTATCCCACTTTTAAGGTTTTCCTTTGAAGGTCCTTGACCCAACTAATGCATATAGGCAGACAGACAGACAAACAGACAGACAGACGAACAGACAGACAGATAGATATACAGACAGACAGACAGACAGACAGACAGACAGACAGACAGACAGACAGACAGACAGACAGCAGACAGACAGACAGACAGCAGACAGACAGACAGACAGACAGACAGACAGACAGACAGACAGACAGACAGACAGACAGACAGACAGACAGACAGACAGACAGACGAACAGACGAACAGACAGACAGATAGATATACAGACGGACGGACAGACAGACAGACAGACAGACAGACAGACAGACAGACAGACAGACAGACAGACAGACAGACAGACAGACAGACAGACAGACAGACAGACAGACAGATAGATAGATAGATAGATAGATAGATAGATAGATAGATAGATAGATAGATAGATAGATAGATAGATAGATAGATAGATAGATAGATAGATAGATAGATAGAACTTTATTTTCAAAGGGTTACAAATTAGGCACGCAGGCCTGTCTTACATTCGGCCCTTCCGAACTCTCATCTTTCACACAGCAGTTGTATTTCATCGATAAAGCATGGTATGTTCATGTAAAAATATGCATATTATGAATATCAAGTCGAAAACAAAAGCATGGGTGGTAAAATATGTACGCACGCTCTCGCGCGAACACACACACACACCCACATACACACGCAAACCAATTCACTCACATACATACACACTTAGGCACGCAGACATTATTTAATAGACACACCGATAGAGACACACACAAATACACATACAGACACTCACAGCCACAGACAGACACCGATACACACACAGCCACACACACAGACACATAATGGCACATACACACATACATACATACAAATACACTCACAAATGCACAAACACTCATATAGACACACGCGCAGACGCACACACATTATCAAAAAGACACAGATACCCACGAAGCCATACACACAGATACACTCGCAGACATTATATAATAGACACACCCATAGAGACTCACACATATACACACAAAGCCACACACACAAATACGCACAGCCACAGACACCGATACACATGCAGCCACACACAGTGACACACCTACAGAACCATAATGACACACACACTGACACACAGAGACATACACACACAAATATCTAACACACCCACAGACGTACAAATACTCGCACAGACACACACACAAAGACGCACACACACGCACACATTATCTAAAAGACGAACACACAAATACACACGAAGCAACACACAGAAAAACACACAACCACAGACACACACGCAGAAACACCTACAGAAACAACATAGATACACACAGACAGACAGACACATACACACACACACAGAGACAAACACGCAGCCACACCGACACATTTACACATACAAATAGACACATAGACACACACCCACAGAACCACACGCAACCACATATACAGATACACATACACAAACACCGCTTGAGCTCTTCATTGACAAGCTACCTATTGTTAATGTAGTTGAAAACAAAACATTAGGTGTTTTAATTGACAACCATCTAGCTTGGAGTTCCCATGTTCATGCCATAGATAGATAGATAGATAGATAGATAGATAGATAGATAGATAGATAGATAGATAGATAGATAGATAGATAGATAGATAGATAGATAGATAGATAGATAGATAGATAGATAGATAGATAGATAGATAGATAGATAGATAGATAGATAGATAGATAGATAGATAGATAGATAGATAGATAGATAGATAGATAGATAGATAGATAGATAGATAGATAGATAGATAGATAGATAGATAGATAGATAGATAGATAGATAGATAGATAGATAGATAGATAGATAGATAGATAGATAGATAGATAGATAGATAGATAGATAGATAGATAGATAGATAGATAGATAGATAGATAGATAGATAGATAGATAGATAGATAGATAGATAGATACACTCAAATAGAGTCTGCGTTTGTGACTTAGGCGTGCGAACAGGCTTCGAAATGCCAGTGTGCCGGTTCGATCTCAGCTGCAGAAGGTTTGTCCTACGTTGGTTTCGACAGTGGTACAGAGAGCCCCATGCAGAAAGCAATGGCAAAATAACTGGACTTAAATTTACCTAGAAAAAAACCACAACCGCCAAATACAAAATGCTTGGGTTGGTTCTGCAACGTTCTGTAAAGGAAACGCAACTAACTTTAACTCAAGTGGAAATGAAGATAATTATCACAATTCAAAATAAAGTGTGGGAACTGAGATGACGTGGCCTAGTCTAGCAATCCAATCTGTATCACGACTGATTTTATTTCTTTCAGAACCGTCATTGGCTTCCGGGTCGACCTAGACTAAAATAGGTACACTGTAACGTTCTGGGAAGTAGAGGTATCAAGAAAAGATATAAAACCGAACGAAAAGTATATAAGCAAGCTTCACAATATTACAAATAGAAACAAAACGGGTACGTTGCGTCTATGGGGCCTTCATCAGCACATACGCAAATCAAATTATACCACACAGATACACAAAATCACTTAGCTGGTATCTCGAAGCAGCCCGGTCGATGACTTCTCAGCAGACTGCCGAGACACGTGGGCCAGGGGGAGGAATACCCCCTGTGGAGTGCCACGGGCCATAACTGGGAAGCTAAAGTTAAAACTGTGTGGGCAGGTCAATCCCCCTAGGAGTTTAAATGAAACTGAGTTGGCAGTTCAGTCCTTTGGGTGTTAGTTTCCAAATCGTAAATAAAACGATTTTTAAGAGACTTGCTGACTCTGTCACTTGGGTGGCTAAATTTAATGGCTGTCACCTCCATGTCGAGGACACCTTGGTGATCCTGGGAATTGAAGTGCAACGGTACTGGTTTCAGGGCACCGTTTTGCACATCCAAAAGATGTTGTCTGAGCCTGTCAGCCAGCCGAAGACCTGTTTCACCAATGCATTTCATGCCACATCTCTTTGCAGTTGATGGCATAAATGACATTGCGGCTGGTAGAATAGAATGCTTCACGTTTGTGGAAGGTGGCATTCGGGAATTCTAGACTAGCCACCTGGACCACATACGGA